ACACCTTCGCACCGTTGATTACAGAGCATTATTGGTGGGGATGGCTGCTGACGTCATCAGAGGGGCCGCTCTCAAAAAGTACGTGAAAAACACGGACGCTGAGACAACTTTGCGCCAGTGATCACAGATAATTGGTGGTATTGGTCGGTACATGCACATGATGTCCGGCCATTCTACCCATTATTCGGATAATTTGGTGGAATGGCTGCTGACGTCATCAAGCTCATCAAGCACTTAGCGGCTGTGTGCAATGATATCTTGTGATTCTTTTGTGCGCCGTATTCAACGATTTGAATGGATGCAATTTTAGGCTTTCGTCCTCCGACTACGTTTGCGATCGAGCAGATGGACCAAGCGGTTCTTCAGAGTGCTAGAACCGCAATAGTAAGATCGTTCAAGGAATTTGGATTGCTTGAAACGATCCTTGATCCAGCTGCCTTGGCGGGAATCCGCGCTCTTGCAGAACCGTTTAACCTGCGTCATATTACCAGAGCGCTTGTGCGCTCCCTGAATGCAGAAGGTTTTTTTTCATATTGGGATCGAAGCGGCATCCATGGCCCATTTGCTGTGAAGGTCAGTTGGCGGATTGCTCTCAAAAACGCGTCTCGGGCTCAACGTCAAGCAAAGAAGCTACGACTGAGGGAATCACGGCTAAAGAACATGTCGCATGAACGAGAGTTGGTTTTTCCAACCAGTTGCACAGACATTCAAGCCCGTTCTCCATCGAGTGCCGAATATGCCCCTAGCATGGTGTGGAGTGAGGCACCCGTCTTGGAATTAGAGGCGCTTGCAAATCCCAACAAGGTTCGCCATGCCACCGAATCTTCACGAGACTCCACTTCTAGATACTGGATTGCTAAAAAGGCCCCCGTTTTAGAAATTATGTACACCCATATTCGGGTATCTGGCAATATTCAGATATCGGCCGATAGTGGAGTGGCGTAAAAGCCCCTATGTCGGGTTTTAGAAGCTTTTGCGTGTGAGATAACCATGAAAGCTCCTAGGCGCACCAAAACGGTGAAAACAAAGATGAACACGGATATTCGGTATCTGAGCACTTTGCGGCCAGATGCCGTTCATCTTTTTTTTCTCGGTATCCAGATACATAAGGCATGGCAGCTTCAGATGCAAACAGAAAGGTTATAGCAACTTTGTCGTCAGCAGAACGGCTGCTTCACGAAATCTTTGATGACTCGACACGAAAGCCGCACACGGTCGAGCAGTACTGTGCACGAGTGATGCGCCTCTTTAAGAGCATGCATGCTTCGAGGGAGGATTTCGAGAATCTCGACTGGGTCAAAGATACGACCAAGATCATAGAGTATCTGGATAACGTGTATTCAGACAAATTGCCTACACAAGCCACGAGCATAAGTCCACTCTTGGTGATCGCCCGAAAACTGTGGCCCAGTGATCAACAGACCTACGAGGCACTTTTCAAACGATACTGTACTGTTAGAAAGGCCATGGAAGAAGCTCGACCACCCCAGCATATGTCAGAGCGTGAGGCCAAAAACTGGAAGTCCTTGGACGAAATCAATCAACGCCGCATCGAGCTTCAACGAAAAGTCAATCGATCCATCGCGCCAAAGAAGCCAGAAGAGGTCACAGTTGGAGACAAAGTGACGCTTTGTCGCTACCTCGTGCTCTGTTTGTACACACAAATGCCGGCGATCCGTAATGATTGGAGCAATCTTCCCATCGTGCGCTTCGAAGAGGTTGGGAGCACTGCCGCGCGTGAGCTCATGGCGGGATCCCGCAACTACCTCCTGGAGTATGCAAAGGGCAGCTATAGGCTCCACCTGAAGTCCTACAAAACCGGCAAAACGCACGGGCCGCAGATTCTCGACATACCGGTCCGGCTTTGCAACGTGATTGCGGAAAGTCTTGCTATTTTTCCGCGAAAGTACCTGTTGAGCCGAATGAGAACACCAGATGCTCCAATGGGGTCCGGTTACCTGACAAAGTTTTTAGCGGCCATCTATCCCGACTCAAATCTGGGATCGTGCCTCCTTCGAAAAATCACTGTCAGCACTGCTATGAAGGATGCGCCGAGCCTCTCTGAACGAGACCAGCTTGCCAGGTCAATGTTGCATACGGCACCAATCGCGATGCGCCACTATGAGCTCCATTACCGACCGGACGGTTATAAGATCCAGTTCTAGACGCTCAGGCTCTTTGACCACCTTGCCACTTACCCCTCATTCAGGAGACTTCGATGCTTGTGAACGCACTCAAAAACACGGTGGGGGCTTTGGACTCGCCTTCCGTGTCCAAGGGGACGGCCGTCCGCGACACATCATACCCGGCGTCTATCAAGCGCTGAATTGTGGCCTTGTGGAGCTTTCTTGTGGTCCCATTAAGCAAGCGCTTGTAGGCTTTTTGTGCGAGGATGTTCTCACGATTGCGCCCATAATATCTTCGAACGGTCTGCGCGTGCTCTACATGGTGCTCCTTCTGGTAAGCACGACTCGTCTCACAAACGCGGCAATGACATGGATAAGTGTCGGTGTCGATTAAAGGACTTGTGCTTTGGACCATGACGCCCTACAATGAAGCTTCGAAAAAAAGCCGGGTACGAGAACGCAGATGTCAAGGGAGCGCGTTTCAATCGTCTCATAGTCTTTCCTCACTGGAGTATAGAAAGGAATGGCTACGTCGGATGTTGAACGGGCAAACGCCTTTCGATCCCAGGGGAAGGCTCAGACAGCCAGAGACCCCAAGGCCCTAGGACCCGTCAGCATCAGGAACGAGATCCAACGACTCTGTAACAACGGCTTATACGCACTCCCAGTGTCCGTCTCTTGCGATCGGAATAGAGGCTCGAAGCAAGCTGACTTCCCTGACAAGTATGCACATATCAAAGATACAGAGGCAGTGGGAGCGGTCCATCAATCAAGCAATGAAGGAGAAGCGGGATGCAAACGGGCTTGCGATACTTGCTGGAGTCAGTGGAGTGTATGTGCTAGACATTGATGTGGCTGCAAAAGGGGGGAAGCGACCAGGGACAGAGCTCTGGCAGCAACTTGTTGAGATCCACGGAGAGCCGGAGACACTGAACGCAAGGACCGGCTCTGGTGGGTTGCACTTGTACTTCAAGCTCGACTCTCCAGGTCTCAAGTGGAGACGAAATTTTCAAGGTCTCAAGGTCGACGACAAGACTTTTGGCGTTGATGGAAGAGGAATCGGTGGTGTTGTGTTCGCTTCACCAACGAGCTACTTGAATGCTCATGGCAAGCTTGCAACATACTATGAGTGGATAAATGGACCTCCCAGCTATGAAGCGTGCCAAGTTATGCCCATTTGGCTCGCAGAATTGGTCAACAATCATGCAGGTCATAGTACCGGTGCGGCAACAATTGATGAGGAGGAGGGTGGCGAGGTTTCGGGAGCAAGAATTGATGCAACCATGCCAGGACGTGTGGAAAGTCCAAGCTTCAAGCAAGATCGCTCGAGCCCAAGTTTGGAACCGCCACACGGCAGGGAGCTCTTGATGGCAGAACTCTCAAAATTGCTGTCAGAGAAGGCCGGCGATTCAACAAGCACGTACGCAGGGTCGTTACCACACGGCCTGTACGGGACATACTATTGCTACCGGACGCATGGGCCTCGACGGTGCTTCTTTGGCCATATGCACTCGGGGAGCAACAACTTCAATCTGCTCAAGAGGGAACTGCATGTATACTACCGCTGCCATGGAGACGAGTGCTCGCACAAGCCCGTCAAAAAGTTGGGGGTCTTGGAGAACTTGAAGGCCGCCTTGCAAGATGCTACCGCAGATCCCGTGGATCCTCACGACGACATGCGAGTTGTCACTCAGTACACAAGGGGGACGCGAGATGTGCAGGATTTGCTGCTCAAGATTGTGATTGAGCACGCCGCTCCTCAAGCGTACGCCTATCTCGGGCGCCTCTTTGCATATATGTATTTGATCGAAGGGCGAATTCTGGTGACCACGAACGAAGCAGAAAGGAGTCGAGATCAGCTCTTTTTTGTCTGGGACGGGACATCGTGGGTACAGGACACCTCGAACCTGGTTTCGAGCGTCTTTACATGTCAGATGGGTTGTCTCTTGGCATGGTTTGACAGGCAGAGAGAGAGGTGTTTGGGCACTTTGTACGCCAGCCGTTCCGAGTTAGAGGGGTTTGTGGTTGACGGTGTCCCTAAGCCTCTCGATCCCAATCTAGTCAATCCCAAGCAGATGAGGAAGATCAGGATGGCCATGGAGACGTGCGCAAAGGAGCTTGACAAGATCATGCCAAGTGAAGCGGCGCTGAACA